TTTGAAGTATCCTTGGATGTTCTAGTTTTTTTTTATGAGAAGAATTCTTGTACAACTACGTACATTTAAGCAATCCAACTTTCCCATGGTAAACACATGTGTCAAAAAAAGTGATCAAATTACAAAATTCGTGCAATCAAATAGTCGGACATGGTATTGTATTTGTAGAAGAGAGCCAATAAAATAAAAAGATTCTCTTGACGCATTTGTAAATATTAGTTTAGAAATACAGATCGACTAATTATAAAGGCAGAAGATGTAAGAGTGAATAAAAACCATTTCCCGTCAAATCAAAGGAAAGCTTGGATATGACATGCAATATGCAGATATAAAGTTGTAGAGAAAAATAAAAAACATTTTTAACGTTGTCACGGATATTACGAGTGCCGTAACAAAGTGTTGACTAGTTTCACATGCATTTGTAAAAACAAGCTTAAGTAGACAAAAAGCATGCCAAAAATATATGATGGAAAACTTGCTCAGCGCATGTACAAGCACCAATTTCAGAGCTCGCTCTGTCACAAATTAATTGAGAATCTGAGCATGCGTTGTCAACTCCACAAACTCTCCAAGCTCATGGTAACGACCAACTGGATGTACTAGTACCGATTTTGGAGTAATTAGCTCGCTCAGTCACACGTTTTAAGACAAATCATCTGCGCATGCGCAGTCTTATTGAGCATGCGTAATCAACTTGACCAGCTACCCAAGTTCGTGGTCATGGTAACGACCAACTGCATCTACTAGCACCAATTTTGAAGTAAATAGCATGCTTAGTAACAATTTAATAGAGAAATCGTCTGCGCATGTGCTCGAGCATGCGCAGTCCACTCGAGTAATTGTTCATAGTCATGACAACGACCAACTATATGTACTTGCACTACATTTGTGTCAATTAACTCACTTAGTCGCAAATTATCGAAGAAATCATCTGGGCATGCGCAGTAACGATAACAATCATCCCACAACTTTCGTAGGCCTTTAAGTTTTGGTATATATATATAAAGCTAAAACTTCATATAGTAGATGTCAAGTAGCAGTGGAAGCTGGGTGCGATATAGTATGCAGTGGCTTAGGAGCCCTCACTTCGGTGGCGACCGCACTCTCCCTGCGTACCCTGAGCAAAGCCTATCGCAGGTGATCTTAGGGTCTGATGGGCGGAAGCTTGCTATTGGCATCTCCCAAGTAGGATAGCGTGGAGGGGCCGAAATCTCCTACCGAAACGATAACATGCGGCGTTCTAGTGCTTTGCGCTTAAGAAGGTATCGGGAAGCATAGACCGAGAACGGGGTTTTTTGCTTTCGAATTTTATCTTTTTGTTTTCTTCTCATAAAATAAACCAAGCAATGTTTCCTTTAACTTCTTAGGACCCTGTCTTTTTCTGACACTTATAATTAAAGACAACCTTAAACAAGTTTTATACCAATTTTATCGGTTTATATCTTTCTGATTTAACTCTCCCATTTACTGTTTCTCATGTATCACGAGCAAACCATCCATATGTTTCATGGAAAACAAACAAGGATTATGTGGTTCCCTTAGTTAACATGCGACGCTCCAGTGCTCAACTATCTCGGGGTATCTGGAGGCATGGACCGAAAACGGGATTCTTTGGTTTTCAAAATTTATCTTTTTCTTTAAAAGAATTCTTCTCATAAAAAAAACTAGAACATCCAAGGATACTTCAAATGTTCAAACAACTTCTGCCTTTTTGAACTATAACTTAAACAAACACTAAGCATGTTTATACGTTTTTTTACTTATTACCTTTTACAACGTAACTTTCTCATAACTCTCTCTCGTGATGAACGAGAGCCTCCTTATACAATATGACTCTTTCATCATGAACGAACGCATCCATGGGCTTCACGGAAAAAAGGGATTATGTACTTTGTTATAATAGTTTCTACAAAGATAACATTTATTAAGCTAAGAAATTTGAAAATAAATATATTTGAGTTATTAGGAAATAACAAGTCAAGAATTCATTGATCATACTCATTCCAATTGGTCTGGAACAACCATGACATTTATAATTTTGACCATCCACCCCTTTATCAAGGGCTATATTGTTAATTAACGACAGTAACTTCATACGTCGTTCCTGCTGAACACCTTCAGGTGAAGTAGGATCAGCAATAATCTGTTATATATAAAAACATAATTTATCCATGGAATTATAGCAAAGTTACGATGGACAGGTGAGAATTATTAACGCTATAAAACTTAAATTCAATATATCGTATAAAGTACCTCAAATCCCGGCGATTTCTCGTATCGAAAGGATTCTAAAGTAAAGGTGATAATTAAGATGAGAAATTTCGAAGAATTGAAACTAGAGAATTTTTCAACAAAAAAATGTTGAGAATACCTGTACTACCACAAGATTCTTCAATGTCTATGCTCTAAAATAATAGTCATAAAAACGACAATTTCAAAAAGCATAAAAAAACTAAGTATTTGTAACATTGGTGAAAGATACAGGATGAACATGAAACCTTCTCAGAAGACGATGGAACGAGACCATAACCATTTGATGTGAACTTCTTCCTAACAAGGTTTGCGTAATCCGTTAGCATACCATGAAAACTAACTTCTGGTTTAGGCGACGCTTTACTAGCAACCTCCTCAACGTCTTCAGGACAATTAACGTCTACTGAACTAGTGTCACAAGGCTCAATGACGATGACCAACCACTAGCCATACCTAACATGTTACCACCAGAGATCTTTCTTGGGTAGATCAAGGCTTTCGGAACTTCAGACAAGGGTTGCGTTGAGCTGACAAAAACACTCTGTCTATTGCTGCATGAAGGCAAAATAGTTAATTGACAGTGTAGGCAAAGAAATTTATCAATTTCTATAGATATTATTGTGTACTACTTACAGTCTCTTGGAATTGTGTAATGTATGTCAAGAACAAGATATAAGTTTTATATAATGCTAACCCCTTCGAGCACTACTACTCTTCTGTTTTGCTTGAACAGCTTACAGCAACCAATACTAATTATTTATATGTACAAACTAACTTTTGGGAATTAAATGATAAACAACTTGATAAATCTTTGTATTTTCCATCAAGCCTTTGAATTTGTTTCTTTTATCTATTGGTGAAAAATATTCATGAAAGACTTACAAATCAAGTTTCTCAAAGATAGTATTTTGTACAAAGAAACTAAACATAATTGAAAGGTCACATGTCGAAGACAGAATTTGCTTCTTTGACTAAGTTGCTTGACCATGAGCAATTTAAATTTGTTTACAATTTGTTTAAAGAATTCTTTTTATTGATTTGTACTAATTCTTCATAAGACACAAAGAATTTCTTTGCCATCTATTTTTGCTTCCTCTACATTCAACTTCATTGTAACCAATGCATCTGATGTGAATTTGTGGATCACCTGGAATCATACCAAGTATGTATTTGGTGAGATGAGACAATAATATGTTTAACTTTTCATGCATATTAATGATATAATCATAAGCTATTGTTGAAGAAATATTTCAAGGTAGGAGCAAATCTTAGCACATTGTTCAACACACTTCTTTTATCTTGGTTTTGAAGTAGTAACCTGTTTACTATAACAATAAATACTTCACTTACAGAAACGCTAAGTAGTACTTTAAAACTGTTTGCATAAATCCAACTTTTCAAACCCATTATAATTGTCTACACTATACAGTCAAATTGAGCAGGCAAGTAGTTTAATAGTTATTTTTATTATACGGCATATACCATAGTTTTCATTAACTTTGCATGGCATTGCATTCAATTTCAACACAACTCTGTTGTAAACTTTCCCTTCATCTTTAAAAAATAAATATGAACAAATTCTGCCCCATTTTTGGGAGGTAAACTCAATTCAAATCAGGAGAGTTTAGCTTGATCATGATGCAAAACTGGATAAAAATCGGCAACTTTGCCACGTCTGGCGAGCGATAAAGTGAAGAACAAACAAGACTGGACCAAAATAACTTTAAATTAAAACTTAGTAGTAAAAAAAACTCTTCAAGTATTGTGTTAAAAACAAAATAGTAAAACTACTACTGTGCTACTTACCGGAGTCATGAAATGTTTCCTTTTCTGTCGCTATTTCACCATCCGCAAACACGGAAGCTTGCAGATTGTTTAATAAATAAAATTTTAAAAAAGTGTTTATGTTAGGAAAATAGTTCCGATATTTTCATAGATATAGTAGGTCTATACTCCCAATCGTGGTGGTCAAATCAGGGTGGGCGACAAAATTTTTATTTCATGAGCCCGCGTCTCTCCGCTGACTTTGACCACCAAAATCCGCTGTCACAGTGATATGGGTATCCCCGTGTTTTGGGTATCCCCGTACTTAAATCACTAGTGTTTTGGGCATCCCCCGTGAGGATACCCAAAACACTAAGACCATGGCATATGGCCGAAATAAATTAAGACCATGTAGCTTGAAACGAAAATTGGTATTTCTAAAAAGGACACGTATGGAAGTAATGACCAGACATTATAAAGGTGAGATGAGCAGCTATTGCTAGCTAAAATATTATGTATTTATTGGTATTTCATGGCATCTTGTTTGAATTACGTATGAAATGCTTCATAGATACCGTTGACATATAAATTTGTTGTTGTGATTTCCATTTTTTTTCATTCTGTATTGCGAAGTACATTGAACGTATACTTTTGAATAGACTTGTAATTTAACAGTTTTAGATTGTCTTGAGTTCATTCAAACATAAAATGATTTAACTAGGTAGTGTCAAAACTGTCAACAATTACGCACATTTGTAACAATGTCTTTTCTTGTGATATAATCAGACTTTTTACCCCTCTAAGAATACAACATAACAAATGTTAAAACAAATTGCAATATAGTTAAAAGTACTGATAATTCAGAAGAAGAATCGACTTTCATTATCAGTCACATAACACACACTTAACCTGTTTTACTTCTTTTGACCACAATGTGGATTACATTTCCATTTTATTTCTGCTTTTTAAAAATAGTTCGGGACATCAAGGCAGTGTTTATGAAACCAGCTCTGACAACTGACACATTCAACCATGTCATCTTCCTCCCTGACATATGGAAGGCGACATCTACAGTAAATTGGTATAAGAACCTTGTGTGATGTTTGTTCAGGGCTTGACATTCTTGGTACAGATGGAAACATATGCATTTTGCCTTTAGTAAAACAATTCCACAAGTGACTTCGGATATTCCTCCTTTGAAAGTTATCTTGCAGGGATCCTGTCCATAACACAATGATGTAGCAAAAGCAATGGCAAATATACCACAGTCATATCCATTTGTCTGTTGGGTGACTGGCTCAATTGAGATTTCGATTACATTTTCTGACTGAAGGTATAGCAGACTAGCAATTTCCTTTTAACTGTGTTACTAATTCCTGAGTACATACTGTCATAGAGTTTAACAGCATTATTTTGATTACAATGAATGTTACTAATGCATATCCAGTGATTTGCACCAGTGTGAAGAACTTGAATGAATTTACCTTTCATGACATCAAACTGTTGCACCATACCTAATATTGTTGCTTGGAGGCCTTCCATGCTTGGGAATTGTTGCTTCAACAAATTTTGGGCCTTGCCAATGTGAATGTCTGTAAGCAGACCATTTTTGATAATGACGTCTTCATCATTTTCATTTAATTGATAATTTGGTGTCTTCATCTTGCTTAGTAAACTCACATCCGACTTCCTTTCCTTCACAATCTTGCACTCATCTTCTTCACATGACTGCTTCCTTGTATGATCATGCTTGAATTTCTTTGATGGTATGCTTGTTTTTGTTGGTTTGCATCTCTTGTTTTGTTGCTTTTCCCAGTTCTTTTGAAGTTCCTGTACATGATATTGTCCTCCAAATTCTAGGTAACTTTCAGCTTCACAATAAGACAATTTTAAAATAGCCTGACTGAGAAGTGTAAGAGCTTCAGGGAAGATAACTTTGGTAATGAAGTCTATTCCAGAAGATGGAAACCATCCAAGAAGTTTACTTACAATAAGGTCAGATTGCTTCTCAGTAAATCCTCCAAAAAAGACATTTACTGATAGGTCTCTCTTTTTTAGGTTTGGAGCACTCTTGCTGAAACCTGATTTGAAAACTTCACAACGCCAGCATTTTCTCAGATTCTAATTTGTTTATTAAATCATTCTTAATGCATGAAAGGTGTAATAGAAGGGCACTTTTTCCATACTTTTTATTTTTCATCAAATTTTTGTAGGCCTGTTTGCTCAAAGACATTGATTCTTGGTTGTTTATGTCTGCTGGTTTTTGTTTGTGCTTTTTCTTTCATCTTTTCTTCCATCATTCCTTCTATCATCTTTCTTTATCTCTTCTATCATCTCTTCCTCTATCATCTTTTTTTCTTCTGTTTGTTTTTCTTTTTCTTCGATTTTTTCGATCGATCCTTTCTCTTCTTACTTTTGATCTTTCCAAATTTTTTCTCTTCATCCTGAGCAGTTCATTGCGAGTTTTTTTTTGTGCTTTGTTTGTTTGGTTTGTGCTTTTATTGTTCTCCTGTTTTAGAGCTTCAGGTTTTAATTGATTGCTGTCTTCCTGCTTTGTTTGTTAATGGATTTAACAACCTGCAAACACCCTATTTACATCCACCTCCATAACTTTATACGGGCCATTCCATTGATCTTCCAGTTTATGCCCTTTCTTTGTTTTCTGTAGCATGTTACGAAGCAAGACAGTATCTCCATCCTTGAATTGGCATACAGGTTTACCCCTTTTTCTGATACTGTGCTTGTTGTTTTCCTGGGCTTTTTGATGTTGGAGTCAACAATGGGGAATATGTTATCCCTCATTTTAGACATTTGCTCGACATGTTTTTCTATGGCTACTTCACTGTTCACATCCTGCATCAGCTCTGCAATGTCATTTTCCTCAGTGAGGTCTGTCTCACATTTCTCAGCTTCAAAGGGAAATCTTGGATTTCTTCCAAACATTAAATAGAATGGACTGTATTTAGTGGTAGCAGACTGATTTGTATTAATTGCAAAGAGTGCTCCTTCTATGTATTCATCCCATATGTCGGCTTTGCTATCCATAACTTTCTTGAGAGTTCTTAATAGAAAAAATAACAGAGGAAATTGGTCTATAAGAATACAAGTTAAGTATACATGTTAATTTAAAAGTACTTTTTAATCGTCTGATTAGTTCTTTCATCTTGGCCATTTGATTGAGGGTGGTATGCTGAAGTAATGCGATGATGAATTTTAAAAACTGTGAATAATTCCTCATTCACCTAAAACATATATTTTTAAGTAAACAAGCTAACCAATGTCATTCTCAATAATTAAAAAGAGTTTGTTATTGTAAGAAGTAACAGAATTTTGGTAAATCAAATTTACTGTTGATTTTTCAGGAAATAAGTCCTAAATGTAAGCCGTTTATAGCCCTTTTAGAGTGTTAATCATACTCACCAGACAGATCCATGAAAGAAATAAGAGTGCTAGTCAATTATTGAAAATATATTAGCTAATAACTATTGTATTTCATTACCTGGTTCACAAACTCTCGTCCTTGGTCTGTAATAATGTGGGCAGGAGAACCATGTCTGCAGAAAGTGGAATAGAGACCTTTGAGACCCTCGACATATTTTGTGAAATAGTCTGTTTGTGTCAATAGGAATTTGTTTCCCTTTTTTGATTTTGTATGTGCATCAATGAGATCAATACCAATCAGGTACCATACTCGAGGAACCACTTTGACTGAGTGAAGAACGTCACACGTACTTTTTTCTGCTGCATTACGCTGACATCTATCACATTGTTTTATCTAGGAAAACATCAAAGATTTGTAAAATATGATTGTCATTTTAAAATTTTCATGTTATTACTGTTGCACTTGTTAATATATTTTTATTACATTTATAACATTCTTCAATTTGGTTATTTTGTAATAGATTTATAGTTTACCATTACAACTGTGTCTTTGTAACAATCTGGCCAATAATATCTATCTCGTATCTTCTTGAAGGTATTGTCTCTTCCACTGTGGCCTGCGTAAGTTGCCGAATGGCATTCTTCGAAAACCCTTGACTTTTGATCTTCACATATAACTAAGCGTTTAACTGTGCCTTCTTTTGTCTTGTCCAAGTACAACAACGAGTCTAATTTTTTATCGTATTCAAATTTTTTTGAAAATTTGCGCAAAACAAGTTTGTCTTGCTTGGTAAAACACTCGGGATACACGGAATGTTTAACATACTGAAGTAGATTTTTATATTTTGTTGGATCCATCACGAATTTTTGAAATACTGAAATCTGGTTTTGTTTCGCGCAAAATTGTGTTGTTCCCGCTAGGGGAAATCCTTTAATCCACAGTAGGGAAACCCTGAAACAAGCGTAGGAATGGGAACAAGTATAGGGAAACCCATATCACTAGTGATTTGTGAACCCTGAGTGGTCGGATGCAGAGCCCTCTATAGTATAAGAGTTGGGACATCTATTGTTATCCGTTTAGCTTACGTTGATTGGGCAATATTGATCACCTGATCAATTTCCGCCATTTTGGTTCCTAGTTTTGAAATTTTAGCTTGTGTTTATATAGCAATTGCTGCTAGTAATACAGTATTTTGAGATAATATTGCGTTTTTATGGATAAGTGTGTAATAACTGATTGTTGAAGGCTACTAAATGTCATTACATATCGCATAAATCGAGGATTACGAAAAAAATGAAAGAAATGCCTTTACGTCGAACTTACGAAATTTGATTGCGTATGGTGATTGTTGTGCTGAACTGCTTTTGATATAAGGTTCAATTAACTGACTCAAGTAGAGAAACATTTTTGGGCCAAATAACATTGCAAAGTTCGTGCTGATGCAGTTTCAATAGTTTTCTTACTCCAAAGCTTGTTTTTTAATCGAAGATGATTTCTCATTATGTTCTGAAATTGGTCAATCTACAAACCTCTCAATTCTCAGCCACTTCCATACTAAAACAACTACACCAAATCACAGAAACTCTTACGATTTTCCATGTTGTATTTTGTATTTTTAGTTCATCATTTAAAATGAAGTAATTATAATTAGGATATTCAATGAAACAGCTGAGTACAATATATTTTGGTATTGAATTGTACAAATGTACCCTACTTCCGTAGCTCAAAGTAGAACATTACTTCTCTTCTAGACTTGTTGATGATATTTTAATTGTAGGTTTTGGTTTATAAGATCACAGAGGCATATCTCCATAATTTCAGCTATTTGGGCTTTTAATGTATATTACAACTGTTGCTGCCTTTCTCATATATATTAAAATATTGCTGGCTTTCTCATATATATTTAGGTGCTGCTAGCTTTTTGATATATATATTTCACTGGCAATGCAAGGCATAGAATTTGAACAAACGGGCTGAGCTCCTCCAACACACCCTGTTTGATCATTAAACACATATAGAAGTTTTGTCATTCCTCAACCAATAAATTTAACTCTTTGCTAAATTAAAGATTGGATCAGACTCATATGCTGTATAAAAGACTACAAACAGTAGCACTTATAGCAAACAGACTGTTCTTCAACAACAGAAATGTTTCATATTATAGAAATAATATATTCATTTTAAAGAAATGCTTCACCAAAATTTTCAGCAGAATCCTAACAAACTTTATTAGAAATAAACTTTAATACTTTATAAAGTGATAAAGGCGAAATAACTTCATATACAGGAATAAAACGTTTAAGGTCAAATGCATCTTGGTCAAATCATTGCATATTTCAATAACTAAAAGTAAAAAGTCTGTCATTTTCTGCTGAGCAAGAAAATTTTGTGATCTTTCAGAATAAAAAATATCATGCTTGGATTAAATTGGGGGGCATAAATCACTCAGTACCATTAAATTGTTACAAATCTTGAACACAAATCTCTCGGACCAAATCTGCATGATTACTATGATTCAAAGATTCGAACAAAGTCTTGTCCAAGTATTTGATAACACTGATGCCAGGATAACATTGCCGCTTGCCACCAAGCTTAAAGATCTTGAAAACTTGTTACAGGGTCGGAACATAAGCCGAGAAAACACGTTAACGTACGAAAAATACTTCTTACAATGGGTCACGATCAATTTGAAGCACGAACTAGTAAACCGCAAACGAAGATCAAACCAATGAAATTAAATCAGGTCTGTCGCAAATCGTTAAAAACGCAAAGAGCTTGCTATTATTCCTAACATATTTGATACTACCATGGAATAAGCTTAAATTGCTTTCTTCTTTGCATATAAACCCAATTTCCAATAGTATTATTATAGTTTCACTTTGCAAGTAGGAACCAAAATGGCGGCTCCGCGCTCGCCCCAGACCGTTTGTCCCAACTCTTATACTATAGAGGGCTCTGGTCGGATGGGGATACCTAAAATACGGCAGCCATTTTTGCCGGGGATGCCCAAAACACTAGTGATTTAAGTACGGGGATACCCAAAACACGGGGATACCCATATCACTGTGACACCGCCATGTTTTTGACCACGCGGCTGCGCGCTAATAATTTATAGTAATTTTGTTGACGTTCCCTCCAGGTCTTATAGAACTCAATGGCTTCGACAAGTCTAGGCATGTATAGTGAGTTAGCTTTCCAGTTGTTGTAGAGTTCACTGGTTCCAAACAAGCGCCCATTCGATTCAAAATAGCGACATTATCCATCGCTTCGCCTTTTTCTTTCTTCTCAGAAGAAAAGACATCTATAAACAAAGGGGAAAACCACTTTAAGTCAGATCACATTGAAGCATTTACTTACCAGCAGAGTGTTTTACAAGTACACGCAAGCATGAAACAAAACGTTTTTGCGCTATGGTAACGTGACGTCACACTTAAGGACTCAATGTGAGCGTTTATTCGGCTAATGAATAACGCGACTAAGAGTGAGAAAATAGTGTTTGTAGGCTATTTCTCTCGGGATTGTATTTAACAATGCGTAACATATTCCTGTGCCAAATATGAAGTTTTGTAAAAGAAAAGTTATCGTATTCCATGTAAGAAACCATGGAGGCTTAATACACGAATTGCACTGTTCAGCAGCTTGTTTATTGTACATATTGAGCGTGGGATACAATTTCATGTTATATCCTTCGCAGCATCCTACACATAAAGGACAGTTATAAATCAACAAATTTTGTGAGAACATAAAAACGGCCATATTTGGATCAATAAGTTCGCTTCAAGTAAAATAGGAAGAGTATGGCAGTTTAGCTGAATGATTTTTCCAATGAAACTTATCAACAACAAATTTTGCTTTCTTAAAACATGCTGGATCTCGGTTCAAACAATACTCGTGCAATCTGCAGGCATTATCGTAAATGACCAACTCTGGCGCTAAAGAAATAAAAATACATAAGCATATCATCAGGCACATTCGGTTATGTTACTGAACTGAAAACTCTGTCAGGCGACTAAACCGTCACGCAATCTGTCCGATTCACTGATAATACTCTGTTTGTAGCACCATAAAGGTACACGCATACATAACTTACCATCAGGAAAACGTGTTCGTAAAATGGTAAATGGGATATTTGGTGATTCGTGATCCCTCATATAGTCCTAAGCCCTTTGAAGATATCTATAAATACGAGAAATTGTAGTATAATATGAGCTCTGGAGTGGTCATACAAAATTTTGTACTCGTGGGTAATAAATTCTTCTTACTTCAGATTTTAATTCTTGAAATTCGTCCCAACGCAGCTTTGAATCACTGTACTTCTTCAATAAAGCTCGCACATTTCTCCTGTTGATGAAATTGCGCATTTCAAACCTAGTATTGGACAAAAGAAAACAGGTTGTTATTTTTATAACTATAAGCTGTGTACAAAACAAAGTGAGAAAAGTCACCATCATGCATAAAATGCTTTCTGATACGTAGATGAACACTCGTATTTACTAATTAGCAGACCTGTATATATTATATATTACAGATAAACTTCAAAAATACTTATCTTCCATCTAGCAATCCAGTATCAGACTCTCTTAAACTATTTGGTAAGAAAGTTTTCTGTATTTCAAGAGTTGTTCCATCCATCACCACCTTCTGGGAATTCTTCCACATAATTCACAAAAACTCATTGTCAAAATCAATATCAAGCAATCTTAATAAGAGAAAATTCAATAACTTAATAAAACAAGCGATCACTATCTCAATGGAATATTCATATTTTACAGCTGAAAATGAAATGATGCTTACCGTATCATGGCAATGATAGCGAGACGAAACTTGGCGTAAGTTATTTCCTTTGGGAAATTCAAATTACCCGAAGACACTTGCCTTTGTACATATGCAACATAATATTTGTACATAGGTAAACTGAACAAGAATAAAAAGAAAAACATTCAAAAGATATAGTGCGAGAAAATTAAATAATGGACAAACGTAGCTACTAATGCTTCGGCAAATTTTCATTAAAAGTACCTCGACGTCATGAAAAGCCGAATGTAATCTTTAGAACGGCATGAGATATTGCATATGATCCAAACCATACAATCCTGTTTTCAATGCCATCATAATGCTTTTCGTAGCACAAGAGGAGCAAGGTCTACAATACACTAAATAATTTATTTCAGTCAAATAATTATGAAGTGAAGCGTAACCTATAACAAATCAGAACTTACCCTTCACATCATGGATTGAACAAAAGTACGCAACTGAACACAAGTCTACGTACAACCATTCATCTTGAATAGAACGTTTATCCCACTCTGCACCACAAGAACAAATACCACTTTCAGATGGCGCCAAAATTTTATGACCATTTTTTTCAGGAAGATCAGTAAAATCGCTTGCATCATTCTCATTGCCTAAAATAATTAAATTGTAATACTTACAAAATGCTAGAAAGTGCTAAATACCATACCGATAAAGGAAATAGTATATGTAAAGCCAAAAGGATGTTCACCATTGCAGATTATCTTGCATACCTGTTTCAAATAAAGAAACCTTTTCTTTGCTAAGTGTAGCCAATTCAAAATAGTCTCGCATCTGGTGTAATTCCAAAGGAAAACTTAAAAAGTACCAATGGAGAATCCATTTCATCCTCGTCAACGATTTGCATGGCTTTTGCAAGGGTTGTCACATGAATGCAATGATATGACGAGCAGCTGCAACATTTTAACTCGGGCTGGGGCGGCATTACTTTTGAATACACAAAAGTACAAACCCCCCATGGACTATTCATTGGTTTTACAGCAATCCACTGAACCTCCCTGCACACTGCACTAAACAAGTCCTAAAATATGTAAAATCATTTATCTTAAGGTTGTATTATGTGTGTGTATGTATGTGTGTGTATGTATGTGTGTGTATGTATGTGTGTATGTGTATGCAGATTAATAATTATGATTAATTATGACTTCACAAAATCCTTAGAAAGTGCTTAATATATATATATCAGGCACGTAAAGCAAATGGTGAATATGACTTTACTATTTTTGTCATACATTTAGTTTATACTACTTAATGTATGTACTGTAAGTATGGGCTATGTATGTGTGAGTATGAATGTGTATACCTCAATAGTCATAAATAAATTCAATTTGCCCTGTTGGTTATCACCCTAATAGCTTTATAGAAGCTCCTGAACTTAGGCACAGGATGTATGGTAACAAATTGTGGGTATTAGAAGGTTGAGAAACAATACGTGTATTTGTACAAAAAAGTTATTTTCACATAACAAAATATACTTCTTCAGGTTGCATCTCATGGTAGGAATGATCACTGAAAACAGACTGCATCATGGATGTGGATTCTGCATTCATAAAAGAGATTCGATGAGATAAATATATTGTGTAAATAATCATTCACAAGTTTTAACAATATTTTTGCTTGTAAAGCTGTGCTGGTTAACATCCACATGTAATAAGAACAATGTCGAACAAGGGTCTTGTAAAAACACAGAAGGATGACTTCACAAGGGTTTGAAATGTACAATAAACTGATATTTAAGGATGAAGACATTTTCTCCCATACCACATGAAGAACTTTACATTGAAAAAATAAGCCAAATACAAATTTGAGACATTCACTACATGCAATGTCAGATTAATATGTAACAAGTTCTCACATCTTTGACAAGGGTCTTGAAACAAATAGTATGTAAGTGTAAGTCAAAATTTGGTGAAGCTGTTCAGACACCTTATATCCTGAAAGAGTAACACACAACACTAACTTTTTTCAATAAAATCTTTGGCTTCAATACCAAACTTTCTATCATACACTACCAGATATTTTTCCATTGCTAATATGTGTATGCAACTGGGATATGGTATATCTGGCAAGTACAAAAATGTTGTTTGGCCTGTTTTAATAATTTCATTTCAGTAACATCTATTTTACATACCTTTTTGAGGATCTAATTGTATATTATTAGGTAGGGCTTCAACAAATTGCTTTCTATTTGCATCACATGAACAGCACAATATCCAACCATAGCCATCAAGCAATAGGTGGGGATATCGATGTACAAATACAAATGAATTATGCTGAAGAAAAAAATACATGCAGATTATAGCACCAAAAAAAGCGTATTGAGTAATATCATTTAGTTGGGTATATACCCAACATTGAAATTATGGAAATAAAATTTGACATCACCATAATTGTTCTTTTGTTTGCATTATAATCATGAACAACAAAGGATTGCTGACGTGATACATTTGATGCAAAGTCAAACTGTAACAATAGCCCAGTATAGTGGCCAGTGGGTGACAAATGACTCTGAAAGAGCAAGTACACAGTAATTATTAATGTTCACTGTTTCAAAAATATCTATTGTAATATATTTTTATGTTTGTTGAGCACATTTCTACCAGATGTTAATAAAGTTTTGCTACACAGTGTTTCATGCATAAGCAATCAACAAGCATATTGTCAATTTATAACACATTAAAAACATGACTAGTGGTAAACAGTATAAAGTATAACTGTATATGTGAGAACTACTTGACTATGTTGACATGGTTGTTTGGGTTCCTCTGTAATAATAGAGATAGATTGCTTGGTAAAGATATCTTCAGAGTCCTACAAATAAAGACCATTATTTAATTTAAAATGTGTACAGACTTTTAATAAGTGTTTAAATAATGCATGACTTCTTTAAATTACTTCAAAATTTTTTAGTTATTTCTAGTGAAAGCAGTCCTACATATAACCACTTCCAATGACTTTTCATGAGAAACAATATCAATATGTACATTAAAACCTGTGTTTTGGTGGTTAACTCTTGGTGCTTGTCATAATTTTCAGCAATATCTTCACTTTGTTCATTCTACATATAAATGAAAAAACCCATAAACATAGCGTATTTTATATCTACATAGTTTTACAATATATGTAAACTTATCAAATCCCCAAATTCATTTTCTTGTTCAAAAATTGAGATTCATATGACACACTGCTATTCTATTAACATATATGACATTGTGATTAAAGGATGTAGAGAATCCAGACTTGAAATTGGAAAATGTGCTCCGAATAAGTGTTTTCCTTACACCACATTGTGGGCATAAATAAATTTGTACACACACTTTTGTTAATATAACTGTGGTAATAAAAATAAATTAATATGAAATTGTGCAACCAGAAACAATAAAAGAACACTTTAAAATTCCTACCGCATCATCTTTTGTGTGTTTCCTTTCCTCTCCACGTTATTGTAAAAGAAGTCATTTGAGCGTCTGAATTTCTTCCTGAATTGATACATTTTGCAAGTGTACCCAAAAAATAATACCCCGATTTATAAAAACCAGTACTGCACGTGTTCTTGGATTGACAAAGTTAGCCTAGAATTAGTCTAAGTACCATTCTCCCAGCCAGACTTCCCGATAGATATTTAAAAAAGTACTAAGCATAGTACTGAGTGACTGAGCCCTGTTGATCGATTGCCTTGCTTCGAACTTTTGATGTTGCAAACTCCTAAAAAATATGAATACGCGAAGAAATATTGTCCTCATACATGAACTTTGAAAATGTAGTAAATGGAAGCCCTGAAATTTCTTTCTTAAGCTGCACCAGTCGGATGGTTGTATTTGTGGTTGTATATGCCATTTTGAAAGCATGTCCATAATTATTCACTATCATCCATTGTAACCACTATCAACATCCTAATGTCATTGGTCAAAAATAGTCACATGTTTGATTTACTTTTGCCTTTCATTCATGTCATTTCTAGATATCAATTTTCTTATTCGTCCAAAGTTCAATCAATAATAAAAAAATATTTATTGTAAATTTTATTATAGCAAATGAACGTGACGCCAAGAGTTTGTAAATCACATGCAATTTTTCGTCGTGGTATAGTGAACTATCTATCTCGACCTTATTTAAACCTGAACATTTTTACGAAGATGGTTCGAAGTTCTCTGCAATCTCTCACCAGTTTAAGGAAGCAAAAGACAAAGTAGGATCTTTAACTCAAGATCCAGGGAATGAATTGAAGTTAAAGATGTACGCCGTTTTTAAGCAGGTATTTTACTATTAATAAAGATATTGTATCCGGTTTTTACATAAAGCTTGAACATTAGTTGTTGTATCTCCTACCTACAAGCTCTTCAATTAAATGGTGACTTTAAATTTTTAAGCACAATGTGCATCATTGCATTTGAATCACATTTTTGCTAAGGCACAGTGAATTTTTTTCAATTATAACTGTTCACAGTCCCACCATACAATACAATCAAAGTTAAAAATAAGACGAACCCAAATAACAATATACATTTCCAGGGCTCTTTAGGCAAATGTAATACACCAAAGCCTGGGACTTTGGACTTTGTTGGAAAGGCAAAATGGAATGCATGGAACGATTTGGGTGATTTATCACAGGTGAATATTTAGTTTAAGAAAGGCTGCACTTATCTTATAATGAACATTCAATATGTATCTAGTTTCAAACATCACCAAAGGACTGTATCTTTCAACAATTTTATTGAACACTCTCACAAGTCTTACTAAAATCTATCGTCATCAAATTATTTACAGTAAAAAAGTTGTTTTGTGCAAAGTTGACAGCACACCGTTAATTAAGAACTGAGTGTGTGAGTCTTCAGGAAATTATGAGTACATATACACCTACTGGAACATACAGCTAAAATATCTGCATGTAAATCTGTGCTTTTCAATGGTTTTAATATACATAGTTTCTCTCCAAGCCATGCAATCTGAATTATATCCCCTATTTGTATTTACGAAGAATTCCTTAACATTTAGGAGAGTAAAATCTTGTACTTAACATTCTTAGTGTTGGTGATGCAGGAAAAAAATGCAAATGTACCATTGATTCTCTATCAAATACCTATGTACTTTTGAAAAAAAACACTTCTATTGCATGTAATGAATACTTTTAAATTGAACTTTTCTTTTAGGTAGATGCACAAAAACAGTATATAGCACTTGTGGAATCTTTACTAGGTGATTTTGAACTTTGCTGTGTATTATGAACACAAAGCTTTTCTGCAAAATATTCTGTATAAACATCATTTCCCTGTTGTGTACATGTCCTTCTCAACATTGAACTATAGAACAGATTTTTTGACTAACAATGTTTTTAACATTACAGGAGTAAGTTTGTTATATGTGTACAGTTTTTTTTTTGTTTTTTTTTAAACCTGTTTTAGTTAACTTTAATCGCGATTTTGATTAAAAAAAGAAAAATTAAAATTTAATTAAAATTATAAACTACAACATACAAATATAAATGTTAAAAACTAAATCAAAGATAACTAACATCAATGTTTAAAATATCCATGATAAAGGGACAGTCAAGTGTAAAGACAACTTTCCCAATAACCTAGGTAAATATTTAAAGTATGTTCGCGAGTTGAGGCAGATCGACTTCCTCGTATCGCAGTAATTGCCGACCTAATCAGTGCGAAAGACAGTTTACAACGCATCCACGCTAGCGTGATGCCATATTGCAGCTTTGTGCCAGCAGATCAGCTAGCCGCTTATAAGCAATTGCCGTCTCTTTCCCCATACCACCTGATGTTGAAAAACCAGTGGTGTAAAAGCAGCACATTCAATCTCTCTTACTCGATCACCATATTCCCTTTATATGTCTACAGTTATTAAAGTTAAATGTTGTTAAAAAGTGACATGCTTAGTCATTCATTAAGGAGATGAAACATCTTTGAACTCAATCTCTTACACTTTTGGGCTGTTTAGTCCAAAACAGTTATTGCAAATTTATTCAATATTTCTTAAATGTAACTTCAGGACAAGAACCCAAGACCAACAGCCAACCCAACAAAGACATTAATACATCAAATGAGTTTGAAAATATTCTTGTCTCTACTGATGGCGGTTTGAGGACAATCACAATGAACAGGCCTGATAAATACAATGCTTTGACCCCAAAGGTTTGTTATTAACTACTAGAAAATCATGCTCCAACAATAGACCACCTCTTCTAACCATAACCAGCCATTTATTCAATGGTTTATCTCTAACAATTACCAGTCATACCCATTCAATAGACTACCTCTTCTAACCATGACCAGCCATTTATTCAAAGGTTTATCAAGATTTTCTTCGACATTTCCACCAGCTGCTGGTTCAGTTCATTAAAAGTTCCGTTTATTCAAAACCTTTTGAAATATGCAACAAAGGACAAATACTCTGCAGCAAGGGGCCGCATCTCGCAAGAAGCCGCAAGTCTCTCATCAATTTTCATTCAATTGCTTCAAGATAGTACAATCATTGCGATTATTTAAGCCTCAATAAATAGTTTTATGGAGTAATAATATGTACTTTAAAAGAAGAAATTCTCGTTGTAGTTTTGTCAACGCCACAAACGAAGAATAATGTTTACGAAGCTGAAAGCCACATGTTGTATGTACTTTGCTCATTATCCCTTATTTATTAGCGGAAAGCTATGCTGTTATGAATAGCGCAACTTACAAGATGCTTTATAATAACGAGAAAAATATAAATTTTGGAAGTGAAACTGAATGTGATCTTGAGAAACGTGTGAAGATGTTTATAGATAGTCACAAAGATTTCATGCGGTTTTCATGGCTTAAGAACATAATTTAAAAAGCTTGCTGTTCGCACACCTTTTTAAAAGAATGTTGAGCAGTAAAAGAAAATTTATGGTTTACTGATTGAGAAAGCAGATCTGTAAGGCTACTAATATCTTGCGATTTCTCTTGTATAAAAAGGAATGAACAACTACAATTTTAAAAGTATAGTTTTCACAGACGGTTTTTATTGTGAAATATTCTGTCTAATGTGAAAAGTTGTCCATCTACAACAAAATTCGCGGTAAAAGAGATTAACCACATATCAATGCTTTATAAAAAGTCAACTTGGGAGATTAGAGAAAGCTGTTAAGGCGTGGCACGGATCGAAAATTTTAAAATTTTTTTATGAATTTAAACTAGTGTAATGAGTATGAATGACTTTGATTGGTTTTGCAATAAAATTTAAATTGACATTGCAGTTTTGCAGCAACCCCATGGTGGCTGTTTCTTTTGTCTATATAACACGTGTTTTATAATAAAGTGATAAGTGTCGTTGTCTCTACAGTTCGCATCATATCGATGTAAATTAAAGTAAATTTGGACTGTGAGATAATGACTTCCCACATGTCTCATTTTGCTTCCTTTGAACATAACACTTTTTATATTTAGTTTGAGGAAGCAGCCGTTGGCAATGAACTTTTAACATGCAATTGGCATAGAAGAAAGCGATCCGTTTTCAAACTGTGAATTTGTTAGTTTATGGAAAGTATTTGTGGTTTTCATATGCATCATGCTGATGGACTCCTTACAAAATAATATCATTGGATTCCCTTTGCTGTTAGGCGACATGGTGGATGCCCTTTCTTTGTTTGTTATTCCCTTAAGACACACTTGAAAACCAAGAATTGCTGTTTTCAAAATTATAATTATGTTTGAGATGAAGACAAGAAAGAGCGACTCGCAGCTTTGGCAGAAAAACGTGTAAAGTAAATTTGGAATGTGAGATATATTGACGTCGGGCATTTCTCGTTTTGCTTCCTTTGCAACATAACGCTATATATATATCGGCAAGGTCACAATTCGTTTGTTGAAGTTTGGTGAAGAAGCCATTTTCAATGAAGTTGAAAGCGATGTGGTTAGTTTATGTTATGTTTCTATATCTTTAGATTATTCTTGGCTCGATGTTTTTTTTCAATCATATTTAGCAGATATAATCACCAACAACTTTATTTTCACGCTTGCTAGCGTCAGGAATACGTCTAAAAAGATATTGTGGTAAAAGTCATCTCATAAAAATCTATCGTATTTAATTATTGGTACTTAGGTGTGTGAAATGTAATCTTTGGAGTTTTGCATAAACTATAGTTTTTAATTGTGAGGTGCATGAAATCAGACCTCTCAAGTCTCACGATTTTGTCGTGAGACTCACAGTTTTCAGTTCAATCTCACGGTCTCACGACAAGAAAGAAAAATCTCACGATAAATAGTGGCGCAAGCTGACAGAACTAATTTTTTGTTGTAATGTTTTATTTTTGGCGTTTCTTGCGCCAATTCTGTGCTAACCGTCACCCAGCTATTCATTTCATGACGGACTATCGACTATGGCCATATATAGAGTACTTGTTCCAAATTAGGTCATCATTATTGGGATATAAACGTATTATTAGAATAATATGATACCGGAAATTCATGTCTATAATGATGATACATGATTGGATAATTAATCATGGACTTTGGTACTAACACCTATATATATCTTGTAGTATTCTTATTCTGTTCTATTGCGCTTCACGTTGTATTTTGGTTATGTTATATTAAAATATTTACTTAAACTTTATAATTCTAATAGGTTATGGGCCCAGGACGCAAACTGTCCTACTAAAGATAAGTAATTTAAAACTTAAGCAATGTCATTTTCGGATAGCGCTCTTAAGTTCGCAAAATTGAATGGAACGAACTACCGGTCATGGGCTTTCAACATGCGGTTATATTTGGAAAGCATGGACTTGTTTGAATTCGTCGAAGGTAGTGCGATTGCTCTAACGACGATGCCGGTGCAGATGTTCGAAGGAGATTCAATTCCTCAGCGAAAAGGCATGGACGTATATTTGCTTGGCTATCGAGCCGGATCAGCAAGTGCACGTGAGAGAAACGATAACGGCAAAGGAAGCGTGGGACGCTTTGAAAAGTCAATTCGCCAGGAATCGTTACTTCAAAAGGTTCGTCTTCGCCAGCAATATTATTCGTCAAAATTTCATGTTGGAGGGAATATGTTGGAGCATATAAACAACTTAAAATCATTACACGAGCAACTAAAAGAAATGGGCGCAAGTATCGATGATAAGGAACTGGCAATGACCCTGTTGGCTAGTTTGCCAGATAAATATAAACCATTAATAACGGCATTGGATGCTGTTGGTGAGAATGAACTTTCTTATGAGAAAGTCAAAACATGATACTAAATGATGAAGACAGAGCCAAAGATTCCGAGACCAGAAAAGAGGATGCATTTTCCGTGCAGCGCAACAAGTTTCGAGGTGGGAAACAACGTGGTGATCAGAATGAGAACATTTTAATCGAAAGAAAGGCTTTCGTGGCAAGTGTTTCATTTGTGACGAGAAAGGGCATCTAGCAAAGACTGTCCGCAGAAGAAGACGAAGCAGTTTCAAACAGTGGCAACTCTTCAATCAATAAGGAAACAAGTCTGCTCAGCTTGCAGAAAACGAAGAAAATAGCGAGATCAATAATGGTGATGCGTTGATTTCAAATTCATCAAACATTACAAGAAATTCAGATTGGATTATCGACTCCGGAGCAACGCAGCACATGACTTACGATTTGGAAGGCTTATGCAATTACGTAGAATTTAAGCAACCGTGTTTAGTAAACCTTGGAGATAACCGCTCTATTTTAGCGTATGGCAAAGGAACTTATAAGGTAAAAGCTATTCTCGGCGACGGAAACAAAAACATCTCGTTGCAGGATGTTATTGTATTTACCTGACATAAATAGAAATTTATTATCTGTTCGAGCGATGATAAGACTTGGAGCTATTGTTACTTTCGAAAACGATGTTTGTAACATTCGACGAAATTCAAAACTGTTAGCAGTGGGAAAACTACAAGGAAAACTGTACATCTTGAAAATTGTCGAGCATTATATGAATGTTGCAAAAGAACAAAGCTTTGATTCAGATTTGAATTTATGGCATTGCAGATTGGGACATCTTGGAATAAACAATGTAATGAAACTCGTCGAGAATGATATGTTCGATGGAATAGGCAATGTAACAGGTGGAAATCAGTTTTGTGAAGCTTGTGTGTTGGGAAAACAGCATCGTTACTCTTTTCCAAAGGGCGTTTCACAACGAGCTAAGGAACCGTTCGAAATTATACATAGTGATGTATGTGGACCGATACAAGAGAATTCCATTGGTGGATCTCGATATTATGTCTCCTTTATCGATGACTACACCAGATATGTACAAGTATACTTTTTGAAGAACAAGAACGAAGTTTTGGAAAAATTTAAAGAATTTTACAACTATGCAAAGAATATCTCTGGAAAGCAAGTTAAGATTATACGCACAGACAACGGTGGTGAGTATCAATCAAAAGAATTTGAGTCGTTTTTAAAGGACAATGGCATCACACATCAAACAACTGTTCCGTATAACCCAGAGCAAAACGGAGTTGCAGAACGGATGAATCGTACGATAATGGAATCAGCAAGAAGTATGTTGATGCACTCACATCTACCCAATAAATTCTGGGCTGAAGCTGTAAATACAGCAACTTATCTTCGAAATAGAAGTCCAACAATTGCTTTGGACGGTATAACTCCTTATCAGTGTCTATTTGGGATAAAACCTGATGTAAGTAATCTGAAAGTGTTTGGCTGCATAACATATATGCATATTCCTAAAGAGCAAAGGAAAAAGTTGGATGCAAAATCTCTCAAGACGATTTTCATGGGCTATCCTGATGGGACGAAAGGGTTTAAGGTATTTGATCCAATGTCAAAGAAGTTTTATAAAAGTCGTGACGTTATGTTTCTAGAGCAGCAATTTTATAACTTTGAAAACAAACAGCGTGAGCAAAAACTCATTGTAGATGAAGAAAATCGTAATGTACATTATGTTCCTGTAAATAGCAATGATGAAAGCCAATCAATTGAAGATCAAAACGCAAAACATGAAAACGGTAATGTTGATGCAAGAGAAGTAGATGATTGCAATCGAGTGGGAGAAAATTCTTACGAAGAGAGATTCATGAATGAGGTTAGACAACTCAAAGGTAAAAGGATACGAAGAGCACCTCAAACATTCGACGAAGAATGTTACACAGTCAGCGACTTAACTGCAGACATCAGTGAACCCAACAATATAAAAGAAGCAACAACTGGAGAACATGCGAATGAATGGAAGAACGCGATGATCTCAGAATACAATTCGTTGAAAGATAATCATACTTGGGATTTAGTACCTTTACCAGAAAACAAAACGTAATCGGGAGTAAATGGGTTTACAAAGTAAAAGAAAAGCTGATGGTTCAATGTGTTTGCTCCAGTGGCAAGATATAATACCATCAGATCATTATTGGCTGTGGCAACCATGTGTGATTGGGAAATACATCAAACAGATGTAAAAACTGCATTTCTTCAAGGAGAATTGGAGGAAGAAATCTATTTACGGCAGCCTGATGGTTTTGTTGACAAAGATCATCCTGAATATGTTTGCAAGCTTAATAAAAGTATATATGGGTTAAAGCAAGCTGCAAGGTGCTGGAATGCTTCTATCGATAAACATTTGCTTTCAAATGGGTACAAGAAAAGTTCGGCAGATCCTTGTGTACATGTCAAATCCGTAAAGTCCAAAAATGGTAAGATTAACTTTGTTATAATCGCAATATATGTTGACGACATGCTCCATTTCTCCAATTCTATTGAGATGTTGGAAAAGGAAAAGTCAGGAATTGCAAATAGATTCCATGTTGAAGATCTTGGTGAGATTCATTATGTGCTAGGGATGAGTTTAAAACGAAATCGAAGATTGCGAACATTAACCATTAATCAGGAGAAATATCTACAAGGAATACTGAAAAGATTCGACATGCAAAATTGTAAAGCAGTCTCAACACCACTTGAATTTGGAAAGAAGTATGAAGTGTTAAGTGAAGGTGAGAATCCAGTTAATGTGAAGCAATATCAAATGGCAATTGGATGCTTAAACTATGCTACATTGATAAGTCGACCCGATTTAGCTGTTGCAGTTGGGACTTTATCAAAGTTTATGGCAAAACCAGGACTAGAGCATTGGAGAGGAGTTAAAAGGATCCTACGTTATATTCAAGGTACATTGGATTATGGTCTACACTTTACCACAGATGGCAATGATCCAATATTGTCAGGGTATACAGATGCAGATTGGGGTGGAGATATAGTGACACGTCGATCTACTACAGGGTACATATATCAAATTAATGGGAATACTGTGAGTTGGTGCAGCAAAAGACAGGGATGTGTTGCAAGATCAACAACAGAAGCCGAGTATGTATCTTTAAGTACAGCCTGCCAAGAAGGAGTCTGGTTGAGAAAACTTCTGGATAGTATCTCAATAACACAACAAGAGCCTACCATCATCTATGAAGACAACCAAGGGGCTATTGAGCTATCAAGAAATCCAAAATTCCACTCTCGGACAAAGCATATAGATGTGGCATACCACTATGTGAGAGAGAAAGTTCACGAGAATATCATTTCTGTTAAATATTGTTCCAGTGAGAATATGCTAGCGGATATATTTACAAAAGGACTTAGTAAAGATACTTTTCAGAAATTCAGGAACATGTTAGGCGTTATCAAGATTAAAGAACGATGAACATTCAACTGATTCAAGTATAATCATTAAGTGGGAGTATTGTACGGTGGCCCGTGCCACAGCTTCTGCGTAGAAATATGTAGCTGTTGCATACAAATCGAGTTTCTACGTACAAACCCGAGTGTTCTCCGTACAAATATAATGTTGCTCCATGGAAAACGAACTGCTCCACACAAATGTTAACCTTCTGCTTGTTGAAATGCTACTTCTCCACACTTAAAGAAAGGTTGCTACGAGCAAATAATCCCTTCTCCACGCTGAAATTATCTTTCTCTATACAAATAAACATACCGAACACTCTCTTCCCCTGGCAAAACACGTGCACACACTCAACGTCAGGGGTAACCTACTCAAAACAAACTCCTACTACACCATAACGAGCAACAAGGAATGAAACCATGAAGTTGTGTATACAATGAGGAGAACATGTTGAAGATACGTCGAACTTTTGTCCGAGCTGTGGAAAGAAACTATTTAATAGTAAGTTTTAAATAACGTGTGTAGCAGAAATCCGAGTACATTTTGCTTAATCGTGTAGTTTATTTGCAATATATCAATCTTTGACTTTGTGTTGCACGTGTTCGTTCTAACGGAATTATATTAAAGTTTTATCCCCCCAAATATAATTATAAAGCTTGAATTATTATGTTTCAGGTTTGTCAGAGATGCAGTAATATAGTTGCAATGCATCCACGCCTGAAGCACACGCAAAGCTCGGGCAATTACTTTTGAAGAATTTAAACAAGCAAAAGCAACTAACAGGGTAAAACCTTACCATCACGGGGAAAAAGCAACTTTGCGTGGAAGAGTGAAGATACAGATCGGGATAAAACAGTACGACAAAGATGTTTCCTTAAAAGCCCTAAAAGGAAGAACCCTTCCCTAAGAGTTGATGCTGACATTGATGCACGACAGTTGTTGCAAAGCAATAACCAAACATTCGAAACATTTTCGAACATTTAGTTGTGAGAAGAAGTATCACTTGTTATACCCGATAACACAGAAGTTAAGCGTCTACGGTCATCTCACAACTTGTACAAAAATATAAAGAGGAGTTGGGTAAGCCATTTTCAAGAATACATCTTTATTTGTGTGCTGATGAATGTGTGGGAAGGGCTGAAATGCACGAGCTTGGACTAAGCAGTGATGATGATCAAATGGAAGCCATATTTTCAACTCCATCTTTTGGCAGTCCTTGCAATATATATTGTCATAGTACCCAATCTATTAGTCCTATTGCCCCATCAACCAGTACTGATGCCAAGTGTAATATTTCTATTGCTCCATCAACTAGTACTGATGCAAAGTGTGTTATTCCTTCCTATCCACCACTATCGGAATTTTTTTGCTATTATTATCACCATCATGTGCAAGGAATGGCAAAATACTGGGCTGGGTTGTTTTCTAGGTAATGTTGGACAATGCCTATCTTTGTTTAAATCATGAGCCTCATGACTTTCAACTAATATTACATTGTCTAGGGCCTGGATATCAGATGGTGGTTCAGCTCGGCTTGAAACCACAGACGATAGTGGTGGATAGGAAGGAATAACACACTTTGCATCAGTACTAGTTGATGGAGCAATAGAAATATTACACTTGGCATCAGTACTGGTTGATGGGGCAATAGGACTAATAGATTGGGTACTATGACAATATATATTGCAAGGACTGCCAAAAGATGGAGTTGAAAATATGGCTTCCATTTGATCATCATCACTGCTTAGTCCAAGCTCGTGCATTTCAGCCCTTCCCACACATTCATCAGCACACAAATAAAGATGTATTCTTGAAAATGGCTTACCCAACTCCTCTTTATATTTTTGTAGTGTGAACAAGTTGTGAGATGACCGTAGACGCTTAACTTCTGTGTTATCGGGGTATAACAAGTGATACTTCTCACAACTAAATGTTCGAAAATGTTTCGAATGTTTGGTTATTGCTTCTTGCAACAACTGTGTCATCAATGTCAGCATCAACTCTTAGGGAAGGGTTCTTCCTTTTAGGGCTTTTAAGGAAACATCTTTGTCGTACTGTTTTATCCCGATCTGTATCTTCACTCTTCCACGCAAAGTTGCTTTTTCCCCGTGATGGTAAGGTTTTACCCTGTTAGTTTCTTTTGCTTGTTTAAATTCTTCAAAAGTAATTGCCCGAGCTTTTGCGTGTTTCAGGCGTGGATGCATTGCAACTATATTACTGCATCTCTGACAAACCTGAAACATAATAATTCAAGCTTTATAATTATATTTGGGGATAAACTTTAATATAATTCCGTTAGAACGAACACGTGCAACACAAAGTCAAAGATTGATATATTGCAAATAAACTTCACGATTAAGCAAAATGTACTCAGATTTCTGCTACACACGTTATTTAAAACTTACTATTAAATAGTTTCTTTCCACAGCTCGGACAAAAGTTCGACTTATCTTCAACATGTTCTCCGCATTGTATACACAACTTCATGGTTTCATTCCTTGTTGCTCGTTATGGTGTAGTAGGAGTTTGTTTTGAGTAGGTTACCCCCGACGTTGAGTGTGTGCACGTGTGTTATTTTTGCCAGGGGGTAAGAGAGTGTTCGGTATGTTTATTTGTATAGAGAAAGATAATTTCAGCGTGGAGAAGGGATTATTTGCTCGTAGCAACCTTTCTTTAAGTGTGGAGAAGTAGTATTTCAACAAGCAGAAGGTTAACATTTGTGTGGAGCAGTTCGTTTTCCATGGAGCAACATTATATTTGTACGGAGAACACTCGGGTTTGTACGTAGAAACTCGATTTGTATGCAACAGCTACATATTTCTACGCAGAAGCTGTGGCACATACGGGCCACCGTAGTATTGGGATATAAACGTATTATTAGAATAATATGATACCGGAAATTCATGTCTATAATGATGATACATGATTGGATAATTAATCATGGACTTTGTTACTAACACCTATATATATCTTGTAGTATTCTTATTCTGTTCTATTGCGCTTCACGTTGTATTTTGGTTATGTTATATTAAAATATTTACTTAAACTTTATAATTCTAATAATCATTACCAGTCTCTCACATTTTATCACGTTTTAAAATGGCGGAAGTTGTGAGAAGTTGTTTCAAAGTGAGATAGCGTGGAGTTTTCATGAACAGATTTAAAGCTATTTTTACAACTGCCTGCTGACAAGCTTTATGATGAGTTCTGTGACTACCAGACACTCGCTGATGTATGTTTTGGGGATAATGTGTTGAAGGAAGCCAAAGTGATTGACGGAGAAAAGGATGGAGAGGTGCTTACTCATTACAGAATGGATGTATTGTGGTGGCATATTGCTCAGTTTGTCATCCCTGGCACAGCTGCTAAACGATTTAAACATTTGCCAAAATAGCAGGACTTGTTTTAGTCTTGCCCCATAGTAATGCCGGAGAGGAGAGATGGTTTAGTATCGTGAGGAAAACAAGACCGAGAGCAGAGCGTCAATGAGGCTGGAGAGTACACTGTCAAGTTTGCTGGCCATGAAGCTGTGACTGTACCGTGCCACAAGTGGAGTCAAACAAAAGAACTGTTGGATAGTTCCAAAAAGGCAGCTACTGCAGCATATAATGCTGAGCATTGAAGCTGTCATAACAAAGTTTATTTCTGTGTTGTTAAGGTCCACGCATGTTTTAAGTAAATTATAAGCAGGAAAAAAGACTTTCTCTGAATCAGAACCTGTGTTTACTTGGATTTGTCTGCCAGTAGATCAATCTCCAGATTTTTACTGAAATCTCCAGATTTTTTTGCATCAGTCTCCAGATTTTATGTGTTTTTAGGTTGAGAGGTCTGATGAAATATAGTGTTTGCAAGCTAATTGTGTGAATTATAGTGTTTATAAGTTAGGTGCAGGAAGTATAGTGAGTTAGGTGGATTCATTATAATATTTGTGATTTAAGGGCATACACTATAACAGTCAGGAGTTGTGTTCATAAACTCTAATCTTATGGTGTTAAGTGCAAGAACTGTAGTCTTTGGCAGTCAATGTAATATAATATGAAAGAGATGCATGAGATTTCATGATAAATTAATTTTGCTGATGCATTGTAACTTTGCATGTCATTATTTCATATTTTCTCATATTGTAGATCCCACATGGATGGAGTTGTGAAAGTCCCTTTACCACCTCTGTCATTCACTTCAATTACTCTTACTAGTTTTTCATTGCTCGTGTGTCATGGTGATTCATGGCCAAAAATGTTTATTTGTAGTTTGGATTCTTTGTGGATGTCAGTTGTTTGTTCATATAATGATGATGGGCCCCATTATTATATGAGCCACCTGAAGGTGGTCAACTGATACTCACAGAAGATCTACTCTGCACTAAACATTCTTTATGTGATGATATAACTGGGGTATTGAAGTGGTCCCTTTCCTTTGTTGAAGTTGCGTATATAAAGGAATGAAGTAGCTACAAAGAAGATAGAAAAGTTTGGTTATAGCCGACATCATCAATAGAAAAGGTTTTGTGATAAATGATTATAGGCCTCTTGATTTATCTCTATTGTTCTTGTGAAAATCTCAATGATTTTTATTGATGGTACTGATTTTGGTTTGTTTATTGAATGGCACATTTATGCCGTTAATTGCATAGAGGTGCAGATTATTCAGATTGTGGTGTAGACCTGCAATAAATACGACCTACGACTTCGTGTCACGTGTCCTAAACCTTTGATCGCTTCGGTAAACGGTCCAACAGCTGGATTTTGTCTTTCCCTTCTCGCATTGTGTGATATAGTCTTTGCTTCAGAAAAGGTAATAGTATTGAGTTTATAAAATTACTCATCTTAGCTGGTCTGACTTCATCTGTGTTTTCAACTGTTTAATATCAGAGTTATATTTAATATGGAAATTAGTGATTGTCTCAAAAGAGTTTTTTGCGCGTACCGTCACGTCACTAACATTTAAGTCATTTTTGAGAGTTTTGTGGAAAAAAGAAAGGAATTGATATAATTTTTAAAACAGCCGAACTTTGTTGAATATTATATGTCAAACGTTTATTGAGTCGTTTTTGATTGGTCAATTTACTTCGCCAATAAATGCAATAAACACGTCAATAATACATTCTGACGGAATTCCCCAAAGTGAAAAAATTTATATGGTAACGTGGCGATATTAAACCTCGACGGGTTCAGTTTCCTTTACCTCCATACTTCCCTCTTTACCCACACCCCTTAATATAATAGAGTACTTTGTTCACCCCTCTAGTGACTCCTCATTACAACATTACATAATTTTTATTTCAGTTGACATATTCGTCGTGTTTTTTTAAAAGCAACTTTTCAAACGAAGTTTGTGGAGTGGGGTCATCCTCCAGTTGCATGTTGCCCTCTAACTTTACCTCATTTATGCCATGTTATGTCTGAGTTGTATACACGCCTATTGATCACTTTATATAAACATTAAAATGTTTTCTTTTCTTGAACCTAGAGGATGTGTTATGGTCTTAGGTGTTAACTGTGAGATTGGAAAGTAATTAAAACTACGAATAGCTTTATCTAAGTTCCCCAAAATGCTTCACTCTCTATTCTCCCCTCCTCAAAAAAAGTGTATCGTGAAACATTATTTATTTTATGAAAGAACCGAGATGCTTTAAAAAAATTTAATTTTGTCTTACGGTGAATCTCCTTTAAATCAGGCCTTGTCTGTTATTCTATGCAGCACGAAACTCGACTGCGACATGGCAAAGGAACGCGGAATTGTCGCAGAAATTTCATCTTTCAACCATTTGGAGGAGGAACTCAATTAACGTTTGGCTAGATTTTCACTAGTTTCTAGACAAGTTTGTGTGTCTATTTTTACGAGGGAGAGGGATTGGGCACTATTGGAAAGCAAAAAGAGTGGGGGTGGGCGGAGCTTAGCAACTGGAGGGAGAGGGACTGGACACGGGACCTTTGAAAATGCAATAAATTTCTATTGTTGTTCATGGACGTTCGCGTCGCAGATTATGAAAACATTTACAGTTTCGAACTTTTAACAAATCCATGTCAACAAATAGTAAAGCAGCATATTTAATATTGTAGTGCCTGCGAGACACAAAGACGTTGATGGTCAGCAGTAATATGAAGAACTTGAGTTTAAAAATCACGAGGAATGCAATTTGTTTCAAAAGTACATCAGCAACGATGATATTGTGGATGGCATCGTAAGTAGATGGTGGATGAGCTTACAGGAATGACTTACCATCCAGGTATACTTGCGGTCAGACTTATGGCGCGTGCTAATATTTATTGTACAAATAGGATAGTGTGTCCCAATGATCCGTTTGTAACCGTTACGCAGCGGAAATTGTATTTTGGCAAAATAGTTAATTGACAGTGTAGGCAAAATAGTTGAAGGCAAAATAGTTAATTGACAGTGTAGGCAAAGAAATTTGTCCCAATGATCCGTTGTAACCAATGTGTCCCAATGATCCCGTTTGAAATGTGTCCCAATGATCCCGTGTCCCAATGATCCGTTTGTAACAGTTACCCAGCGGAAATTGTTTTTGTACACAGCTTATAGTTATAAAAATAAGAACCTGTTTTAAAAATAAGAACCATGTTTTTTCTTTTTTATTCTTGTTCAGTTTACCTATGTACAAATATTATGTTGCATATGTACAAAGGCGAGTGTCTTCGGGTAATTTGAATTTCCCAAAGGAAATAACTTACGCCAAGTTTCGTCTCGCTATCATTGCCATGATACGGTAAGCATCATTTCATTTTCAGCTGTAAAATATGAATATTCCATTGAGATAGTGATCGCTTGTTTTATTAAGTTATTGAATTTTCTCTTATTAAGATTGCTTGATATTGATTTTGACAATGAGTTTTTTGTGAATTATGTGGAAGAATTCCCCAGAAGGTGGTGATGGATGGAACAACTCTTGAAATACAGAAAACTTTCTTACCAAATAATTTAAGAGAGTCTGATACTGGATTGCTAGATGGAAGATAAGTATTTTTGAAGTTTATCTGTAATATATAATATATACAGGTCTGCTAATTAGTAAATACGAGTGTTCATCTACGTATCAGAAAGCATTTTATGCATGATGGTGACTTTTCTCACTTTGTTTTGTACACAGCTTATAGTTATAAAAATAACAACCTGTTTTCTTTTGTCCAATACTAGGTTTGAAATGCGCAATTTCATCAACAGGAGAAATGTGCGAGCTTTATTGAAGAAGTACAGTGATTCAAAGCTGCGTTGGGACGAATTTCAAGAATTAAAATCTGAAGTAAGAAGAATTTATTACCCCACGAGTACAAAATTTTGTATGACCACTCCAGAGCTCATATTATACTACAATTTCTCGTATTTATAGATATCTTCAAAGGGGCTTAGGACTATATGAGGGATCACGAATCACCAAATATCCCATTTACCATTTTACGAACACGTTTTCCTGATGGTAAGTTACGCATGCGTGTACCTTTATGGTGCTACAAACAGAGTATTATCAGTGAATCGGACAGATTGCGTGACGGTTTAGTCGCCTGACAGAGTTTTCAGTTCAGTAACATAACCGAATGTGCCTGATGATATGCTTATGTATTTTTATTTCTTTAGCGCCAGAGTTGGTCATTTACGATAATGCCTGCAGATTGCACGAGTATTGTTTGAACCGAGATCCAGCATGTTTTAAGAAAGCAAAATTTGTTGTTGATAAGTTTCATTGGAAAAATCATTCAGCTAAACTGCCATACTCTTCCTATTTTACTTGAAGCGAACTTATTGATCCAAAATGGCCGTTTTATGTTCTCACAAAATTTGTTGATTTATAACTGTCCTTTATGTGTAGGATGCTGCGAAGGATATAACATGAAATTGTATCCCACGCTCAATATGTACAATAAACAAGCTGCTGAACAGTGCAATTCGTGTATTAAGCCTCCATGGTTTCTTACATGGAATGCGATAACTTTTTTCTTTTTACAAAACTTCATATTTGGCACAGGAATATGTTACGCATTGTTAAATACAATCCCGAGAGAGAAATAGCCTACAAACACTATTTTCTCACTCTTAGTCGCGTTATTCATTAGCCGAATAAACGCTCACATTGAGTCCTTAAGTGTGACGTCACGTTACCATAGCGCAAAAAACGTTTTGTTTCATGCTTGCGTGTACTTCTTGTAAAACACTCTGCTGGTAAGTAAATGCTTCAATGTGATCTGACTTAAAGTGGTTTTCCCCCTTTGTTTATAGATGTCTTTCTTCTGAGAAGAAAGAAAAAGGCGAAGCGATGGATAATGTCGCTATTTTGAATCGAATGGGCGCTTGTTTGGAACCAGTGAACTCTACAACAACTGGAAAGCTAACTCACTATACACATGCCTAGACTTGTCGAAGCCATTGAGTTCTATAAGACCTGGAGGGGAACGTCAACAAAATTACTATAAATTATTAGCGCAGCCGCGTGGTCAAAAACATGGCGGATTTTGGTGGTCAAAGTCAGCGGAGAGACGCGGGCTCATGAAATAAAATTTTGTCGCCCACCCTGATTTGACCACCACGATTGGGAGTATAGACCTACTGTATCTATGAAAATATCGGAACTATTTTCCTAACATAAACACTTTTAAAATTTTATTTATTAAACAATCTGCAAGCTTCCGTGTTTGCGGATGGTGAAATAGCGACAGAAAAGGAAACATTTCATGACTCCGGTAAGTAGCACAGTAGTAGTTTTACTATTTTGTTTTAACACAATACTTGAAGAGTTTTTACTACTAAGTTTTAATTTAAAGTTATTTTGGTCCAGTCTTGTTTGTTCTTCACTTTATCGCTCGCCAGACGTGGCAAAGTTGCCGATTTTTATCCAGTTTTGCATCATGATCAAGCTAAACTCTCCTGATTTAAATTGAGTTTACCTCCCAAAAATGGGGCAGAATTTGTTCATATTTATTTTTTAAAGATGAAGGGAAAGTTTACAACAGAGTTGTGTTGAAATTGAATGCAATGCCATGCAAAGTTAATGAAAACTATGGTATATGCCGTTGTTGAGTCATGCTCATAAACCGCAGAGTTACGTAAAGGGAAGCAGTAAATACGTAGTTTGGTCAACCATTGTATCCGTTCCCATGCGGTTAACACCCAAGGAACAGTTATTGACGTTAGTAGAATTTCCTTATATACCTTATATAGTTAGATTAGATGAATTATTTTGACCAATAATATTATTTGCTAATTGTAGAGAATATTATAAATACTGCCTTGTAAAATAATAAAAATCAGTTCATTCACTAAGTTTACTCGTTGTTGTTACTGAAAGAGAAAGTATAATACGAAATTGAGATATGGCGAGTAACACGAACTCAACAGCCGTATAATAAAAATAACTATTAAACTACTTGCCTGCTCAATTTGACTGTATAGTGTAGACAATTATAATGGGTTTGAAAAGTTGGATTTATGCAAACAGTTTTAAAGTACTACTTAGCGTTTCTGTAAGTGAAGTATTTATTGTTATAGTAAACAGGTTACTACTTCAAAACCAAGATAAAAGAAGTGTGTTGAACAATGTGCTAAGATTTGCTCCTACCTTGAAATATTTCTTCAACAATAGCTTATGATTATATCATTAATATGCATGAAAAGTTAAACATATTATTGTCTCATCTCACCAAATACATACTTGGTATGATTCCAGGTGATCCACAAATTCACATCAGATGCATTGGTTACAATGAAGTTGAATGTAGAGGAAGCAAAAATAGATGGCAAAGAAATTCTTTGTGTCTTATGAAGAATTAGTACAAATCAATAAAAAGAATTCTTTAAACAAATTGTAAACAAATTTAAATTGCTCATGGTCAAGCAACTTAGTCAAAGAAGCAAATTCTGTCTTCGACATGTGACCTTTCCAATTATGTTTAGTTTCTTTGTACAAAATACTATCTTTGAGAAACTTGATTTGTAAGTCTTTCATGAATATTTTTTCACCAATAGATAAAAGAAACAAATTCAAAGGCTTGATGGAAAATACAAAGATTTATCAAGTTGTTTATCATTTAATTCCCAAAAGTTAGTTTGTACATATAAATAATTAGTATTGGTTGCTGTAAGCTGTTCAAGCAAAACAGAAGAGTAGTAGTGCTCGAAGGGGTTAGCATTATATAAAACTTATATCTTGTTCTTGACATACATTACACAATTCCAAGAGACTGTAAGTAGTACACAATAATATCTATAGAAATTGATAAATTTCTTTGCCTACACTGTCAATTAACTATTTTGCCTTCATGCAGCAATAGACAGAGTGTTTTTGTCAGCTCAACGCAACCCTTGTCTGAAGTTCCGAAAGCCTTGATCTACCCAAGAAAGATCTCTGGTGGTAACATGTTAGGTATGGCTAGTGGTTGGTCATCGTCATTGAGCCTTGTGACACTAGTTCAGTAGACGTTAATTGTCCTGAAGACGTTGAGGAGGTTGCTAGTAAAGCGTCGCCTAAACCAGAAGTTAGTTTTCATGGTATGCTAACGGATTACGCAAACCTTGTTAGGAAGAAGTTCACATCAAATGGTTATGGTCTCGTTCCATCGTCTTCTGAGAAGGTTTCATGTTCATCCTGTATCTTTCACCAATGTTACAAATACTTAGTTTTTTATGCTTTTGAAATTGTCGTTTTATGACTATTATTTTAGAGCATAGACATTGAAGAATCTTGTGGTAGTACAGGTATTCTCAACATTTTTGTTGAAAAATTCTCTAGTTTCAATTCTTCGAAATTTCTCATCTTAATTATCACCTTTACTTTAGAATCCTTTCGATACGAGAAATCGCCGGGATTTGAGGTACTTTATACGATATATTGAATTTAAGTTTTATAGCGTTAATAACTCTCACCTGTCCATCGTAACTTTGCTATAATTCCATGGATAAATTATGTTTTATATATAACAGATTATTGCTGATCCTACTTCACCTGAAGGTGTTCAGCAGGAACGACGTATGAAGTTACTGTCGTTAATTAACAATATAGCCCTTGATAAAGGGTTGGATGGTCAAAATTATAAATGTCATGGTTGTTCCAGACCAATTGGAATGAGTATGATCAATGAATTCTTGACTTGTTATTTCCTAATAACTCAAATATATTTATTTTCAAATTTCTTAGCTTAATAAATGTTATCTTTGTAGAAACTATTATAACAAAGTACATAATCCTTTTTTCCGTGAAGCCCATGGATGCGTTCGTTCATGATGAAAGAGTCATATTGTATAAGGAGGCTCTCGTTCATCACGAGAGAGTTATGAGAAAGTTACGTTGTAAAAGGTAATAAGTAAAAAACGTATAAACATGCTTAGTGTTTGTTTGAGTTATAGTTCAAAAAGGCAGAAGTTGTTTGAACCTTTGAAGTATCCTTGGACGTTCTAGTTTTTTTTATATGAAGAATTCATGTAAAGAAAAAGATAAATTTTGAAAACCAAAGAATCCCGTTTTCGGTCCATGCCTCCAGATACCCGAGATAGTTGAGCACTAGAGCGTCGCATGTTAACTAAGGGAACCACATAATCCTTGTTTGTTTTCCATGAAACATATGGATGGTTTGCTCGTGATACATGAGAAACAGTAAATGGGAGAGTTAAATCAGAAAGATATAAAACGATAAATTGGTATAAAACTTGTTTAAGGTTGTCTTTAATTATAAGTGTCAGAAAAAGACAGGGTCGTAAGAAGTTAATTGAAACATTGCTTGTATTGTTTTATGAGAAGAAAACAAAAAGATAAAATTAGAAAGCAGAAAACCCGTTTTCGGTCCATGCTTCCCGATACTTTCTTAAGCGCAAGGCACTAGAACGCCGCATGTTAACGTTTCGGTAGGAGATTTCGCACCTCCACGCTATCCTACTTGGGAGATGCCAATAGCAAGCTTCCGCCCATCAGACCCTGAGATCACCTGCGATAGGCTTTGCTCAGGGTACGCAGGGAGAGTGCGGCCTAAGCCACTGAATACTATATCGCACACAGCTTCCACTGCTACTTGACATCTACTATATGAAGTTTTAGCTTTATATATATATACCAAAATTTAAAGGCGTACGAAAGTT